TGCAGTTGACCATAGCGGTCAAGCATCTTTCTGGCAGGCTGAGTGTGTTGGTGGCCACTCTCCAGGCGCCACCAGCCGGTGTTGACGGAATGGCAGCTGTGTCCCTTGATTTTCAAGGGGAATTGTCAGGCGTGGGACAGACCTATTATAGACCTGTTTGCCACTTCCCTGAACAACCAGCTGCTAACCTTCGTCTCCCCGGTCCCAGACCGTAAGGCGTGGGCTGTGGACGCCCTTTCTCTGGAATAGGAAGGGACGTATGCATATGCATTCCCTCCCTTCAACCTGGTGGGCAGGGTTCTACAGAAGTTCTGGGAGCATCACTGCTCCTTACTTCTGAGAGCCCCTCTGTGGCCGAGGCAAGCTTGGTTTCAGGAGCTCTTGTCGTTTCTGGTGGAGGAGCCCTTGGCTCTCCCCACCAGACCGAATCTCCTTCGCCAGCCTTGGCCCAGAACGACACACTCTTGACCAGAGATCCTCCACCTTCACGCGCTGAGGCTATCTCTGGAAGCCACGCCAAGGCAGGCTTTTCTCAAGAGGTGTCAGATTGCATTGAGCAATCAATCAGGGCTTCCTCTTCTGCCGTCTACCAGTCACGTTGGATGATCTTCTGTGATTGGTGTGTCGGCAAGGAAGCTTATTCATTCGAAGCCTCTGCATTTGATTGCGGAATTCCTAATCTCTCTGTTTAGGTACCGCTATCTGCCACCTGGCACTATTGCTGGCTATCGTACAGCTATTGCCAGAGTTCTTGCTTGTTATGGCAGGAAGGAGATCGGTTAGTCCTCCTCTCTTTCTGCCCTAATCAGAGGCTTTGCTATGAATAGAGTTGTTTTTAGCGAAGAATCAGGTTCCGGGGTTCTCGCACGATCCCATCAGGATCCTGGCTGTGACTAGCTCGGAGGAGCGAGATAGGTTGCTTTGTCCTTGTCGGGCTCTTAGGTTTTATCTTGATAAAACCAGGGGGGGGGGGGGGGGGCGGGGCTCTCGATCCCGTCTGTTTTGCCCATTAAACAGGGGCAACGAGATATCTCCTCCCAGTCGGTTTCCAGGTGGGTTTGCCAGGTGATTTAGTATGCTTACGAGCATTTTGATGATCTGGCTCGGGCGAGAGCGAAAGCGCGGTCTCACGAGGTCAGGGCCCTTGCTTCATCCTGGGCCCTTCTCTCAATGAGTCCTCCTTTCAGGAGGTCATGTCTGCAGTATTCTGGCAGGGCAGGGATACCTTAACAGATTTTTATCTGTGATCCCTAGCTTCCCACTCAGAAGGCCTGTATTCATTGGGACCTTTGGTGGTGGCATAGTCAGTGGCTGGGCCTCCTCGTTAGCCCCGGGCCATGTCTTTCCGTACGGCGGCATGTGGGTACACCTGCTCTTTCACAGAGAGGTCCCTTCCTTCACTTTAGCACTCTGTTCTCCCTCCCTACTACTTTGGTTGTGCTGAAGGGGCTGCCTGGCTTCTAGTCACCACTACGGTAAGACGAATTCGCATACTAAAGTTATGGTAATTATTACTGAAATGAAATTGAGGTTTTTTTAATGTAAAACCAATTTTCATGATGTAATACTTACCATAACTTTATGGAGTCCCACCCTATCCTCCCCTCTTCCTTATCTGCCTGGCTGCCCCTCTGTGGGGTTTACGCCATAAAGGTTATTAGAGGAAGGGAGATCACTCTGCGTTCCTGCCGTGATGGCTCATGGATCGTAGGGAGGGCGGGATTGTTTTTCTTTTGAATCTTTTGTTGTTGGGATACAAAGATGGGTGTAGGTACTGTATTTGCATACTAAAGTTATGGTAAGTATTACATCATGAAAATTAAAAAAACCTCAAATTGACTTGTGAGTCCTAGAAGGATGAAACAGCTGTATGATGCAGTTTAATTCAGTATTTGGCTTTCCTGTATCTAGCACTAAATTTGAATTAAAAGATGATATTGACTTGTTAGTCCTAGAAGGATGAAACAGCTGTATGATGCAGTTTAATTCAGTATTTGGCTTTCCTGTATCTAGCACTAAATTTGAATTAAAAGGTGATATTGACTTGTGAGTCCTAGAAGGATGAAGCAGCTGTATGGTGCAGTTTTAATTCATTGTTTGGCTTTCCTGTATCTAGCACTAAATTTGAATTAAAAGATGATATTGACTTGTGAGTCCTAGAAGGATGAAGCAGCTGTATGGTGCAGGTTAATTAATTGTTTGGCTCAAGTACAATCATAAGATGATAAATGTACAAAATAGCTGACGATAGAATTGTTTTAGTACAGCTTGTGCTGTCTACAACATATCATCGTCAACACTACAATATTGGTGGTATTTATATAGGACTCAGATTAGCTGTACTAATTACTGTTGTTAGTAAGGGTTATTATCTTTTGTCGATAATGATCTGTAACTCGATCCGACCATTACAGTCACATAAAGGAAATATTTACACACCGAAGTGATATGTTGAAGCTTTATGATCACCTAATGTTAATTCTATTTCAAAATGAAGCTAAAATGGAAAACAGAACTTCATAACAAAGGGTGGTTTTTATTATACAGGGTTGTTATATGACGTATTTAAATGAAATATTGGGTCAAAGATTTATTGATGAATGTAGATCGTGTCATTCCTATTCAATATTGAGCTGCTGGTCATTCGGCAAAGGAGCGAAGTGGTTAAAGATTCATGTGTTAAGTGACACAGGAGAATAACATCTGTCAATACATAGGAGTTAAATAAGTACATAACCTATAATTCAGTGAATAGTATCATACACCTTTTTCGTCCTTCTACAAGTTGTTGGTAGCGCTAGCGGTCTATCATGTTGAAGTCTGGAAAGCAATTCTGCTTTGTTGATAAACATAAAAGTAGAGATGTTGAGGTGCCGCAACCCAACATCTCATGACTTTGTTACAGTTGATCCGCGATGAATTAAAAAAAATCGTGTTTTAGAATATTACATCCAAAAGAAATATGATTTTTTTTTCATTGTAAGTAAACGTCGGTAAATATGGCGGTTTTCGTGTGTATCTTATTATCTTTGTAACACGTGGGGTGTAATAGAACGAGCATGCGTTTTTGTTGTTGTGTGGAAACTTCTGCAGACTGAGTAGCTGACTTTTATGTCTTGATAATTTGACATATGTCTTTACTGTAGATAATTTCACAGATGTCTTTACTGTAGATAATTTGACAGATGTCTTTACTGTAAATAATTTGACAGGTGTCTTTACTGTAGATAATTTGACAGATGTGTTTACTGTAGATAATTTGATAGATGTCTTTATTGTATAAATTTTGACAGATGTCTTTACTGTAGATAATATGACAGATGTGTTTACTGTAGATAATATGACAGGTGTCTTTACTGTAGATAATATGACAGATGTCTTTACTGTAGATAATATGACAGATGTCTTTACTGTAGATAATTTGACAGATGTCTTTACTGTAGATAATTTGACAGATGTCTTTACTGTAGATAATTTGACATGTGTCTTTACTGTAGATAATATGACAGATGTGTTTACTGTAGATAATTTGATAGATGTCTTTATTGTATATATTTTTACAGATGTCTTTACTGTAGATAATTTGATAGATGTCTTTATTGGAGATAATTTGACAGGTGTCTTTACTGTAGATAATTTTAACAGGTGTCTTTACTGTAGATAATATGACAGATGTCTTTACTGTAGATAATTTGACAGATGTCTTTACTGTAGATAATTTGACAGATGTCTTTATTGGAGATAATTTTAACAGATGTCTTTACTGAAGATAATTTGACAAGTGTCTTTACTGTAGATAATTTGACAGGTGTCTTTACTGTAGATATTATGACAGATGTCTTTACTGTAGATAATATGACAGGTGTCTTTACTGTAGATATTTTGACGAATTTTCAAAACGTTTTGTCCGTTGATAAGCTTAGGATACTGTTGTATCATTCTCAATGCGAAAAGTTTGGCATACTTGGTGATAAACGAAGCTACTTACTTAATTTAATATCACGATATAGAAAAGTTGCTCGCCTTTACAAACACGCCTCCCATACTCTAAAATCAACATATAATTTTGGACAGCTACTGGTGATGGGTACCCGTACCTTAATTAAACTTTTGAGATATTGTATTACTTCAGACCGGATATACAAACTGTTGTATTGACTCTTACTGAATGTACACTGTTGAAGACTACTGCTTATTTTTGTTTGGTAGCAATCAATTGTTGTATTTGTTTACTAAGTGAGATACCTAATTGGTTCTTTAAAACTCAAGTGCCGTCCGTTTTCTCATTATTCTATAACCTTTCAGTTCTCATGCATACCACAACCACTAGAAAATTAAAGTTTGTTTAGGATAAAATGATCGATTTTCCTTGATGCTTTCTCAATACAAACGAAACAGACCAAGTCGTAAATAAGAACTGTCTCAACAATTCAAAATGTACGTGTAAATGATATAGTGATATTCTTAATCAATTATACATAATGTTGTAATGGATAAACCCTGAATCAATACTGAGAGATGATGCATCACTTTCATGCTTATGATTTATTTCAAGGTTCATGTGGTTAAGTGTTTTGCAATATGCCAGTTTTTTGGTTTACTACTTGAAAGTTACCGTGTGTATGTTTTCTGTCCGATTCTTTACTGACCTAACTGAATGATTTCATCATAAAACCTTAACAATAGACAAAATAAGCGTAGGTTATTTCGAATACGTTAAAATAATAGAACAGACTCTCACTTACAATTACTGAAGAGCGTTGATGTGTGACCTGATTTCAGAGGCCGATGATCAATTAGAGGTGTACACGGGTGATAGTCTCCATAACATGTATACACTAGCTAGTCATACAGACATAAATAAAAAAGACAATAATCAGGCAGTAAGGTCATACCTTCCACGCGGGTCCTTGGATTTTGGTAAAATCGAAATGTGATCCACAGGTGTTCGAGATATATTTTATCGGTGATTGTAATCAAGATAAAAAGGATCCATCACGATGACGAAGAAAAGGTGTCAATGTTGTTCTGGGCGATTTGCTTTGGATGTATCTGCCAAAGATTCTATGAAAGTGAAATTTAAACAATATGCCGATGGATGTTACATGCACGGGCCGTCCGCCATCGCTCGTTCAGTTAACATTGTTCGAATGACTGTCTGGATTTTGGTGCTCGCTACAGGATGGGGTAGGTACAAGAAAATGGTTGTTGAAAACAATAATGTATTTCCGATGTCCTCTTCATTTTTATTATTCAGCGACAAAAGTAAATTAAAAGATTTGAAGTTTTCAAGAACAAAAATTGCACGATCTTCTGAAATTTCCTCGACGCCAGTGTCTTCTAGGATCATACGCATTTAAATGTATCAGTTTCTGCGTTTAATGAAATAATATTTTTCTCTTTTTGGTTGATGTTTATCACTCGTTTTGGGTGGTGTTTATCGTTCTTTATGGTGAGGGTGTTTATCGTTCCTTTTGGTTGTTGTTTATCATTCTTTAAGGTTGGTATTTATCGTTCCTTTTGGTTGGTGTTTATCATTCTTTAAGGTTGGTATTTATCGTTCCTTTTGGTTGGTGTTTATCGTTCGTTATGGTTGGTATTTATCGTTTTTAAGGGTGGTGTTGATTGTTCTTTTTGGTTGGTGTTTATCGTTCGTTATGGTTGGTGTTTATCGTTCTTTTAGGTTGGTGTTTATCGTTCTTTTAGGTTGGTGTTTATCATTCTTTAAGGTTGGTGTTTATCATTCTTTAAGGTTGGTGTTTATCGTTCTTTAAGGTTGGTGTTTATCATTCTTTAAGGTTGGTGTTTATCGTTCTTTATGGTTGGTGTTTATCGTTCTTTAAGGTTGGTGTTTATCGTTCTTTTAGGTTGGTGTTTATCGTTCTTTTTGGTTGGTGTTTATCGTTCTTTTTGGTTGGTGTTTATCGTTCTTTTTGGTTGGTGTTTATCGTCCTTTTAGGTTGGTGTTTATCGTTCTTTTAGGTTGGTGTTTATCGTTCTTTTAGGTTGGTGTTTATCGTTCTTTTAGGTTGGTGTTTATCGTTCTTTTTGGTTGGTGTTTATCGTTCTTTTTGGTTGGTGTTTATCGTTCTTTTTGGTTGGTGTTTATCGTTCTTTTTGGTTGGTGTTTATCGTTCTTTTTGGTTGGTGTTTATCGTTCTTTTAGGTTGGTGTTAGTCGTTCTTTTTGGTTGGTGTTTATCGTACTTTAAGGTTGATATTTATCGTTCTTTAAGGTTGGTATTTATCGTTTTTTTTTTGGTTGGTATTTATCGTTGTTAGAAGTTGGTGTTTATCGTTCTTTAAGGTTGGTATTTATCGTTCTTTCGGTTGGTGTTTATTGTTAGTTATGATTGGTGTTTACCGTTCTTTATGGTTGATGTTTAACATTCTTTAAGGTTGGTATTTATCGTTCTTTCGGTTGGTGTTTATTGTTAGATATGATTGGTGTTTACCGTTCTTTATGATTGGTGTTTAACATTCTTTAAGGTTGGTATTTATCGTTCTTTAAGGTTGGTATTTATCGTTCTTTCGGTTGGTGTTTATTGTTAGTTATGATTGGTGTTTACCGTTCTTTATGGTTGATGTTTAACATTCTTTAAGGTTGGTATTTATCGTTCTTTCGGTTGGTGTTTATTGTTAGATATGATTGGTGTTTACCGTTCTTTATGATTGGTGTTTAACATTCTTTAAGGTTGGTATTTATCGTTCTTTAAGGTTGGTATTTATCGTTCTTTCGGTTGGTGTTTATTGTTAGTTATGATTGGTGTTTACCGTTCTTTATGGTTGATGTTTAACATTCTTTAAGGTTGGTATTTATCGTTCTTTCGGTTGGTGTTTATTGTTAGATATGATTGGTGTTTACCGTTCTTTATGATTGGTGTTTATCGTTCTTTAAGGTTGGTATTCATCGTTCGTTATGGTTGGTGTTTACCGTTCTTTATGGTTGGTGTTTATCGTACTTCCTGTTTGGTGTTTACCGTTCTTTATGGTTGGTGTTTATCGTACTTCCTGTTTGGTGTCTATCGTTCTTTTTGGTTGGTGTCTATCGTTCTTTTGGTTGGTGTCTATCGTTCTTTAAGGTTGGTGTTTATCGTTGTTTAAGGTTGGTGTTTATCGTTCCTTTTGATTGGTGTTGGTGTTGGTGTTTGCTTTGATTCAGGTGATGTTTTTTAAATTACCTGGATATCTGCTCCAGTTTTATCTTTGTTTGGTCGCTGCTACTTTTGGGTCAGATTTAACGGATTTTGAATTTTTGTCCACATCACACTTCACTGCTGTAATTAGGCAGTGTCTGATTATAAAGCGAGGGATAAATAAAGCGGACTTCGTGATAACAACGATGAAGTCTGAAGGAACTAGAGATACGTCAAAGTGTTCCTTATGAGAGAATTTATTAACGTGTCATGATAAATATAATGTTTAAAAGGATGAAATGATGAGATTGTTTAAGGTGACATCATGTACTTTTCATTTTTAAAGAAACCACACATTTCAGGTGATAATTGTTATTCAAGATAAGATGTCGACATGTTTAAGTGTTTGATACTAAAGGCACTTTTGGAAATCGTGCGCGGTGAATATGATTTGGGACAAACAAAATCAGCAGTTTGTATGTCACTCTGTGTTTGTCAAGTTCATTACCTTCTGGTGATAACGATTAAGCACATTGTAAGGGAATATTTCGATTATTTTCTGTGCAATAACAGACTGACAGGTCATACTTTGAACACAATAACACTCGTTTATTATTTTGTGTATGGAAAAAAGTGAAATTGTTGCTCCTGACTGCATGGCTAAGCATAAAAGGAAATTGTCTACTTTCTATACATTCAATGCTAAGTGGTTCAAAATCGACGCGGCATATTGTTTTATTGCATTTTATTGTTCTCTTGTCATATCCTGTTTCCACTAGCCGCATACATCAGCTATTGTTGTACATTACATGCATTTGAAATGGACATTTTCCTGGAGCAAAATGTATTCAATAATCGTTTTCTCCATCTCTAGCATTTTCATATAATACAATGTTACATGAGCATTTGCAAATTGCATGTCGAAGTAATGAACTATTGTTCAATATATGTGTAAATTGGACAGGTTTACCTCGAGCAGTTTTACATTTATCAACAGATATTGGTACCAGGTGTATTTCTTTTATTAACTCACCAGTATCCAGTAAATGACTTTGACGATAACCAGAATTGTAGTTTTAACTCACAGTCGATGAAATTTTAACATATATTGACAAAAGAAAGATTTACATGGAAAATCCCAGAAAAGATAAGATGTTCCGGAATGGTAAGCGTATTCTCCTTCATCGACCACACCAGCCATTTCATTAACAGCAATGACAATGAATTGTTATAACGCTTCGTTTCTGGATTATGCAAACAAAATCATCCCTTATATATATATATATATAATAAGTTATGTACTTAAATGTCTTATGCTGAACTTCCAGTCCCGTTTTCAGTTCATTTAAATTGCTATGTAGATCAAGCCAAAAATGGTTAAATAATGGTATAATGTATAATTATTGAGAAAAGAATGAGGAATAGTGGCGACGATAAATGCTTTGCATTTCAAAAAAGAATACTTTAGGTCAGTGCGAAAGTGGTAGTGTGCAGTATATATCGACGAGTTCTTTCTGAATACGTGAACATTATCCTGCCAAAGCAATAAACAAGCTCATAAAACATTTTTGACAAAAGGTGTGACAAATTTGTTTTTGTCTGGTTCCCCGTGAATTCGTTTTCTTTAATAAATAAGAAGGGTTATGAGTTACATGTACATGTCATGTGTAGTTTGTATCACCAGTACGTTTCTCATATGTCATAAAAGAAAAGGGAATTTAAAAGGACGAGCTATTCTAAAGGGGACACGGTACGATCTTTATTTGTAAAGAAAACAAATTCTAGCAACATACAAAATCAAAAAGTCAAAGCTTCTTTGTGTAAGTGTCTGGCCTTCAAAAATATTTGATTTTGAAAAAGGTCACTGTGAATACAATTGACGACGACATATCGTCAGCAGTTCTCATGTCACTTTGAGGTAGTTATGCTTGTTACCTTCTTGTTATAATAGCATTATCATTGTCTACGCGATGGCAGCTAAAGTCTACATGTATTGTTATTATTCAAACAAAGCCTGTCACACTTACAATGTTTAGTATGAAGGTCTACATTTTCTAGAGAGAATGAAGGTGTATATTTTCTAGAGAGTATGAAAGTCTACATTTTCTAGAGACTATGAAGTTCTACATTTTCTAGAGAGTATGAAGGTCTACATTTTCTAGAGACTATGAAGGTCTACATTTTCTAGAGAGTCTGAAGGTCTACATTTTCTAAAGAGTCTAAAGGTCTACATTTTCTAGAGAGTAGTTCCGTTTTTTTTTTAAAAATCATTTGCTAATTGCTTTCGTCGTTTTAGCATTTCTTCTTTTCTATGATGTCTCAATTAATGTGGTTTTAAGAGCTCCAAAAAAGGTGTAAATAGTATATTTTTTTTTGCGTGAACATACAATTTTCATTTCATTGTCTTCGCCTTTTGGTAATGATGATGGAAGTTAATTTAACTCTAATTGATTTACAGAAAAAGAACAAAGAAACATCAATAAGATACTACACATGTATATAATTAATGAATACGTCATTTCGTACTCCTTTCTACAAAGTCTAGATCTGTGAAAATGTTTCAGGGACGAGAGGCGATATAAGGTATTTTATGATCACCGATGTAAATCTATGCAAATATCAAGCATTGCCGTTTTTGAAAATAGAACTGGTTTGAATGCCTTATTTAGAAGAATGTCATTTGTTTGTTGATGTAAACTTTAGAAGGTTGGTGGATGTAAACATTTCAAGAATTAAGGATCTCGATAGAAAATTCGGACTGAATTTACTTGTGAACACAATTTATCATAGGACACATCACATGTGGATATAACACGGAAATATTAGATTGCTGTCTTCAAATAAAATGATTAGTTTACAAAGGAGTTAATATATTCACTCATAGGAAGAGAACATAATGATATTCCATATTCACAAAATCTTACCGTATTCTGATACCTTGACTTTGAGAGATAGTTTAAGTATTGCATAAACCGTATCAATATCCAATCTCAAACGAATCGGGTAATGTAATCAACATGTCCCGTTTGATCTGATGGTGAGAAATATGTACGCCTTCGTGTCTTCATATCACAACAGATTTCTTGAACGCGTCCATCGTATATATCCACCGGAATTGAAAATCAAGGACACAGCAGACTCTTTAACATCAGCCGGTTATCTGGATAATTTTCCAGCATGATCTATGATTAGCGTGATGGTTTCAATTTCCCTATATGTTACTTTCCATTTCAAGACAGCAACCCCCCTACATCGTCAACATATGTTGGTAAAATGTTGAAGTTAATTCGATATGCAAGAAACTGACAGACAAACTCATAGCACGTGACTTAGATTGATGAGGTTTGACGAAAGTTATGGCAAGTTCTGCAATCCTTATACCAATCACACTGAGAAATATTAATTTTGTTCGTGTGGTATGATGCTACTGGACACGTGTGATGCTCGTTAGTTAGTCTGTTAGTACTTATCTTTCATGACAGTTTTCGTCACTGACGGAGTTTACACTTCATGAACACATTTTTATTCTCGTTAGTCTGTTTAGGACGTCACCGTGTAAAGGACTTTTGTACATATTTTCCCTACTTTTGTTCAATTTTGACGTTGGATTGTGATTCAGTTTACATGCTGATAATTTCTTGTTGTTTCTATTGATTGCTAAACGAAGACTGATCTATTGCTACTGTTGGTAGTTTAACCTGGTTTTAAAACCTAAGATTTCATTTTTCTTGTTTCAAAGTTCACCTCCTTCTTCCGGATGTCTCATGCGGAGATTGGCTGTATCCTTCTTCGTCCTTATGTCATGCATGACAGCGGTATACATCATGCTAGAGTTTCCCGCTGAATTATAAATAGGGGAAACAAAAATAGGTTTAACTACATTTATCTTCGTTATCGTGTTGTCATTTTGGTACTATTTTATTTCCTTTTAATTGAAACTGTACTGTGCTGAAGACATGGCTATATTGTATTTCTGTTATGTGTGATTTATAAATGTAATTTCTAATATATGTAGCTTGAGCCTTCGTTATTTTAAAAATATACTTTATCTATTTTACAACAACTGTGAAACAAGCTTAAAACTTATATTAATCTCTCCTGTTGGCCCAGATGAAAGCAGGGTTCTCAATGTGGGAGCAAACCGGAGTCCCCGAGGAAAACCCCTTTGATCGGGCAGGTCCAACCTCTATTACAATTATTCTTTAAAGATACCCCGCATGTTGTTTTCAGTAGAGATTCCGTCCCATCAGTGAATACTCCGCTACAAAAGTAAACCTCATTTATAAATGTTAGCGCTTCAAGTACGTTGTATATCACTTTCTCAAACAAATCGATAATCTGACTATAGTGTAGATGTGTAGATGATGAATTAGTATTGATTCAATGAGTCTGTGCCGTTTTCTCATAGCTTTGTATATGTTTCAGTGCTTTAACCTAGGATTAATTTATGTTTATATATGGCTTTACAAACAATTATCAACCATTAAACTGTAGGGGAAACATTTACCTTCCATTAACTATAGCTTTGATATCGAATCACATAAATCTGTTTTATTTGACTGCCTTTGTCGCTTATTCGACTTTACTAATCTTTGTTACATATTTCAGTCACAAGTCGCAATAAAGACTCTTCTAATATAATCTAAAATATCGCAACAGACACCATAAGGAATATGAGATGAACGGTAACACAGTAATAGAATAAATAACTTGAGATCCATTTATCCATACACTTTAGCATGTGATAGTTACACGGAATAAATAAGCTCAGAATGACACTTTTAAGGTAATATTGTTTCAAAGGTTTTCGTGTTGAACGATTCGAGCGAAATCGTACACCGAATATTGTGACTACGCATGGAATCCTGTCGGTAATATTGCATTATTACAAGTGTATGATATCTATAATATTCCGTGGAATTTCAGACGTTTTTGATACAAATTTAATAGTGCCTGTTAGTCGGAAAGTATTCGGCTGCGTCCAATGGTTCAAGCCTTTCTGGGACAGTCTTAATCAGCCGAACAGTTTGCTCCACTTTTAATTCCCTAATGCACAATTTGTTTAAGTTGTAAATTACCAACTTCTGAACGAATGCTAAGGAATATAAACACAGTGAGGCAACTTTCCCTTATAGCAAGAGGAAATATAAGCATTGGACTGATCTTAGATGGCATTGCCGTGTATCATGGATGGTAACAGGAAGAAAATGCTAACATGGATTTTATCAAAAATGGCGGCAGTCATATTTCCCAGGAATACTTACTAAAACATATCCAATGATTAAATATTCAAAGACATTAGCCACATAATCACATGTACAGTGTTTTTATTGCACATCGAAGTTAAGGATTCTGTCATGTAATGACTGATATTGAGTTTACCTTTTAAGCAGATATTTTATTTCTAATTTCAAATGAAATCTATTATTTAAACAATTTCATGCACACATGTATAAAAGACTGACGTTTTGTAAATTATATAGAATTATAGATTCCTAGGTCTCCAGAAACATTTTGAGTAGTTTATAGGCAATGTTTCTATGTTTCGTATCACCCTTTTTATTTCGACGTCAGACTTATTGTAAAAAGCTAAAGATCGGACTTCACTGATCAAATGCGTTAAACAATTTTTTTCTTTTATTCTATCATTATTTATTATCGTGAACATTTAAAAAAGCCAACAGTAGCGTTCAGCGAAATAGCGAAACAGCGAAATAGCGAAACAGCGAAATACGTGGAAATAGATAAAATGAAGGAAGATCGTAAACTAATTTTGACCAATCAGGACACTGCATCATTTGTTTTTAAAATCACGGTGTTAGGAACATCGTATGTGTCAAATTATAACATGTGAGGTGTGACACGAATTAGCCATGATTGGACACAATTTGTCCAGGGACAGTTGAACTCTAGATTTTTGTTTTAAATATGAAAAACTGTGACAACCCAAAACGCGAATTCTCATCAATATATTCTGATATTCTGTGTAGTTAAATCGAAATTAGCTCGTGCGTTTTCGAGTTAGGGTATTTTTTCTATCACAGTGTTTATATGCATTTTTACGCTGGTTTGAATGCCCAATGAATACTTTTATGACCTTTTATCTTATCTATCTGGGTACGATTGCATAAGAATTAAAAAAAAAGATACAGGGCCATTTGTCCAATAATATGACTGCTCGAGATGTGATCCAGTCTCCTCCCACATTTTGACTAATTTGAACGCTTCTGTCCGAGTCAACAGATAAAGATTGATATAATCTGATACACTTAATAATTAACACTTTAATCGATATGTTACTTATTGTTGATGTGTGTAAACCTCAATGAACCTTGTAACATTTTGGAATTTCAGGAATGACGGTTTGGCAACTGACAGAATTGATAAAGAAATTCTACACATACCCTACTTCCACAAACCTTATTCTGAATTCAAACGGAAGCATGTTATTCCCAGCAGTGACTGTATGCAATGTCAACCCCGTCAGGCTAAGCCAACTCTCCTCGACCAGCACGAGCATATCAAACCTAATCGCTGTAAGTAACGAAGGGTATTTTTATTTTCAAATGTTGTTAGAACTGCAAAGAATCATTAATGAAAATCTTTCATAAATCTCTCGGGACTTCTATTACGGGCTCCACTACAGTAATTTGTTATTGATTTAAACATATTTTTATTGTCATCAAACAACCAGAATTAGGCACAAGTTATAACACCTTAGTGACGCCTTCTCCAGAAAACAGTACATAAATCAACATATTTACGATATGATAGACTTAAAGTTTAGTAATCAAAATAAATACATATCGCAACAGAAGATGAGAGATGAAAAACGGAAAAGAATCCAATAGAGAAAGATTAACAGGGCCAGGGAAGAAGCAAAGATGAGAATATGATTATGAACAACCTATAAGCATATATTTTTTTTATCTGCCATTGACCTTAAAACCGATTAGTGTTTTTAATAAAAGTTTGAACTGACAGAAAGATGCTTCCATTTTGTTCATCAAACAGTTTTTTTTTCTTATTATCAATGTAGCCAGATGGCTACATAGAAGTGGTGTTCCGTCAAATTATAACAAATTATAGCAGAAACAAATCAGCTATTGGTTTTATTTGAATCGCAAATTTACCGTTGATCTATAATTGACAGACCTAACGTGTATCTTTATTTTATAAGATTTATGCTGATGTGACAAGACAGTAAACACTAAGTATAGGTGAAGTAGGACTACAAACTGACTATGATGATTTCCTTACATTAAATTACACAATATGCATTTGTATGAGTATCTGTTTCTATATACGTATTGTCTGGGTACCTTTTTTCTATATAAAGTTAGTATGTATTGATTTAAGAATTGTATTGGTCCGCAATAATTTAGCTAACATCAGCGTAGATTCATGATTCAAGATACATAAGTTAGGTGGGGGTGATCAACGGTCATTTTGACAGGATGTTAAATAGACGACAGATTTTGAGTTTGGCCTGGGAGCGCTGTGAAAAGGAACACCATCTCTCACAACTATGACAGCCTCTACTTGTACCTAATAAAGCTATATGAAAGAGGAGAAAACGCCTTTGCTTATATTCAATCGGACCCCATCATTTTGGCTAATTTGATTAAAAACTAAGAAAGTATGGCTTAAGCAACCTATGATATATTTGATTTTAACGAACATCACAACTCAAGACACTGTTATACATCTATTTCTATTTTAGGCCGCTGGCACGACGTCAGCTCCACGAGTATGGGCCTGGGACAATTTCGACGATAACAATTCGTATTACGATTCGTATGATCCTGGGACAGCCGTTGGCTTCGATTTCGCGTTAGAATATGCCATTCTTGACGACTCTACCAAGACGTCTTCAGGCCACCAACTAGAGGACATGTTGGTATCGTGTAGCTTTAAAGGAAAGTCGTGTTCTCCTTCGTAAGTGTATTATCGTTCTCATGAGACACGATTTCACTGGAAAAGCATGTCAGCAACCAAAACAATTATACAATATTGGTGGATTTTATTTTACACAATCATTCAAATATTCCTATTTTAGATACGTGAAATTACTGTATTGGATTCATGTGAATGTGCTTTTGTAAATTCCTCAGTTTGTTGCTAGACGTGGAAACATGATATCGACGAATGCTATATAAGTGAGCATTTTGAACTGTGCATTCTATTGCTATAATTGACATCATGTTTCGAAATCCATGTTTCACAATCATATCAAACTTTGTAAATATCATGTTTAAAACAATATTGTTTTCTCTGACAGCTACTTCTCATTGTATGTTAAAAGCTGTGATCAATTCATATTTCATTTAGTTTTTGTAAATTATTTAAGTTCTGTTCCCCAAATCATGCTACAATTTCTGATTCTATTAACTTCCACGTTGATAAAATCATCTATTGCATAATTTTTCCGCAATCACACAGTACAATACTTAAGGTATCTATATAGTGGTTAGTGCCACTGCCATGAATCCGCATGTGTATATAATGCACTTTTAAAATATGAAAGAAATCGACTATCGTGTACGTTCACTTTTTCAAATGACAGTAAAACACCGTTCTTTGAATAACGGCTGGATTCTTTATCCAACATTTCTGAAGGACATTGAAAAGTCTCTCACGTATTTTCTTTTTTAATTTTTGCAACATTCCTGGTCGTAATTGACAATTATATTTTCATTTCTATGAGTGTAAAATAACTCAATAGATTATTTCCATATCAGTATTCGAGATAATGATTAGAAAATTATATTATTTGTTAATCATTTATATTATCATTAATAGAAATTTATGTCTCTATTTTGATAGTCCTTATTCCATGTGATTTTCATTATGTTTTTCTCATTCGTTCCTTTTAGGAATTTCTCTCACTTTCTACATTACAAGTATGGGAATTGTTACACGTTCAATTCTGGTTTCAATCAGAGTATCACGGAAACCGAGAAAACAGGACCTATATATGGTAGGTATCCAGACAAACGTAATAATGATAATATAAAGTATAGGTTTAAGTGTTTAAGTACTAAAAGACAATATACACAGTTGTAATAATTAATGTAGACGTTAACCGAGGAACAAACTAGTAACAAAGAGTTTAAAGAGATGCAGGTTAATATAAATTATGCGGAAATATTTTTGAGAGCGCAACATTACTCGGATTGATTAAACTTTACGCTCCGGATGTCGTCGATGAAGCAGAAGACACTTATTCTTCCGGAATACCTGGTCTTACTATTCTTGTTTTTTCGGAGGTTCCCGTGTAAATATTTCTTTTGTTCACATTTTGCCTTAGTTTTATAGAATTTGAGTTTGAAATATTGTTATGTTGACATGTTGATATTTTCAGTTTTTCGGTACTGATAATTTCCGCTAACTCAGGGGTTAAATTCGGTATTATAACCTATTATTCAACTTCATAAACTGCTCTTATTAACCAATGCCAACAAAGAGTTAAGTGTTTAGAGAAGCACCAGGGTTTCCATCTACAAATGGAACATACATTAAGGAAATATCACACTTATCACACAGCTTGATGTAAAGTTGTCCCCCTTGGTTTCGTTGTAACCGAGGTAAACGGCTGTAGAAGTGTTTGCGGTGTCCTTGATTTCCCGTTCAGGCAGGTATATAAAATGGACATAGTCAATGAATTATTTGATTATATCAAGTTCGTACGAGGACAAGCTCAAATCAGTCATGAGAAAGGTAAATTCAATTTCAGTAGGCATTATCATAGGGGATTGTGAAGTTTAGAAGTTTATCAAAGTGTCCATCCAACTCGATTTTGTTGTTACGATACGAAACTAGGAGTATTCACTTTATTACTCTTCACTTTTTAAATGTTTCCAATTTAGAAACACTGTGTATGTCAATTTGCTTACTCTATCATATAATTACATCGCCAGGCAGGATAAGGCACAAGGCAAATACTAAGCATATAATGAGCAAATACAAAACAGGAAACACCATTAATTAAAATCAGATTGAGTAGGATCAATACATTATTGTAGACGAATAATGTCCTCCAGCCTTTAACCTAATTGTCAATACGTAAATCTTCAGTGCACAATGAGGAAATTGTTATTTTCATGGTAAATACTGTTATATGATTGGTCAAAATTGAGTAAGATATCACAACTTGTGATTCTCAACGTTATTAATAATATATTATTGCGGAAATGTAATAAATTGCCTTCCAAAAAACAATAACTTCTTCTGAGCTTAAGAAATACAGCAATCGTTGATCAAATACTCTACAGTACATATATACTTCACAACCATATAATTGTGCTGCTAATATCATTCTTTGTAAAACACCCGCTCATAAGCAGAGAATGAAGGCGACCATTCAGTTCGGAAAAGGAAACGAGAGTGTATAAAATATATATACATTGACAAAATATAAAAAGTTCTTATACAAGAATATTTATTTCAGAAGAAGAAGGTCAATATTGGAGAAAACCTCTTTGAAATTCATACAGATAATTAATTCCACTTCTCAAGTGAACGTATCAGTAAAATGTAAACCTGATTTGATTTCGTTAAAACGGAACAACAAAGAAACTCTCGACATTATAGCAGAATGATAAAACAAACACAAATTCGACTAAAGCATGGCAAACTAAGAACAAAAGATATACACAGAGACTCATGAAAAAAAGAATAAGACCTGGTGTTCTGGAAGAGTAAGCGTCTTCTGCTTCATTGATGACAGCCGTCATGTAAATTTTGGTCATTTTAAGTAAGTAATGTCACGTTCACAAATGAGAACAAGGTTAATAACAACGAAACTAAGCTCAGCTAAAGATATCTGGACAACAGTCGATGCTATTTCTAACGGCTTGTTTCCGAAATCATAATTTCTGTAAAAAATATCAACAGCTTAGTCGTTGCACTGTGGACGTTCTCATTATATACCTGCCTGAAAGGATAAATTCTTCTGATTGAACAATGTTCCTCATGCGAGAAAAAAAATAAACAAAAACAAACTTAACAAGACGTGCCGGTGTTAATCTTATAACAGGCCTTTTTTCTGACATATTTAGCGCATGAAAAAGACTTTCAGTCAATTGAAAGACATACCGATATTTTTTAAGTGGCCGCGTTCATATCAACTGCAAAGTCTTAATGAAATCAGAAAGAAATAAACTGTGGTTATGTTGTTATTAAAAAGTGGAAATTGTTCAATGTCTTCAAACTTAAAGTGTCACGATTTTTAATCTATTCATGGTATTTCATAACTTCGGGATACATAAAAATACGTGTTTGTATAAAACGCCATGAAACGTCTTTAAATTTAAGAATATGATAGATAGGTATTTTATAATAAAACTATGTTTTACATTAATGACCTGAGCGACTATAGAGCAGCTGATCCGAATGGACTATTTTGTTTGTTTCACCACGGCTACTGTATCATGTGCCACAATACCGCAGTATTGGGATATACTGGCATTTCTAAAACAGTTAGATATAAATACGTATAATCGGTTAGATTGTTTTAATATAACAATAATAATAGTAATAAAGCACACACAATCATTAACGACATCAATCGTACACATGTCAGATATAACCAGAGTAGGTATGATTATTTGGATCTTTCTGTTACAGGTCTTACTCTGGAACTTTACTTGGAGCAGGACGAATACGTCGGAAGTCTGGCTTCGGATGCCGGGATAAGACTGACCGTACACAACCAGACGAGTATGCCATTTCCAGAGGAAAACGGTATAAACCTGGCTCCGGGATTTAAAACGGGGATAGCATTAAAACTTGTGAGTAGAGTAATATCACGGCGAAAAATACTCCTGTCAGTGTTTTCTGCATGAGTGTTCACTTTGTATTAGAAATTGTAAACAAATGTTACCCTTGTATAAGAACAGATAAAAATTGTGTTTTTTGAGCTCAGGTAATTGTTCTAACTTCTGTAAGTATGTAATTACAGACTCAGGTAATTGTTCTAACTTCTGTAAGTATGTAATTACAGGCTGAGGTAATTGTTCTAACTTCTGTAAGTATGTAATTAGAGACTCAGGTAATTGTTCTAACTTCTGTAAGTATGTAATTAGAGACTCAGGTAATTGTTCTAACTTCTGTAAGTATGTAATTACAGGCTGAGGTAATTGTTCTAACTTCTGTAAGTATGTAATACAGACTCAGGTAATTTTTCTAACTTGTGTAAGTTTGTAATTACAGACTGAGGTAATTCGTGCTAAACCTCCACACGGCGAGTGTAAAGACTACTCTGACACAGAAAATTTACTGTACAATGCTTGGGCCGAAGAAGGTCAGCTTAGCGTGAAATATACCTATGTGGTAAGATATATTTCTAACTCTTGCTGTGTCAAAATTAGATCATTTAGTTCACTTGTTATCTGAAGAAATACGTTTCCAATGGAATTTCCAGATTTCCAGCGATATTTTTTTTATCTTTTACAAACATACAGTATAAAAACGGATATATGTAACACGATATGCAAAAGACAGACAGATAACATATCTTTATATAGAGTGAGATACAGAAGAACCAAACAATAAATAAACCTGCACCAAACAGCTGATTCGTCCATCTAGGACTGGTCATATACGTTCAGGACATTACTTATGAAGCCTAGGAGGCCACTGAGAAAAATCCAAAGTGAACGAAAGAAATATCAAATTCTATATGGGAAGATGAAATAGCTTCATAATTAGAAAATTCTTACAAGAAGGCCAAGTCAATGTGTGAATTTTGAGCCGTTCGGTTATTCGAATCATATGTTTTTTCTATGATAGGCTTGCCAGAAAACTTGTTTCCAGAAGAGTCTTATCCAGTACTGTGGATGTTGTAGCCTGGATCTTCCCTGTAGTGGAATTGCTTTTAATGGCGTGCTGTCAGCGTACCCGAACGGGGTCGACTGGTGTCTGTACTCTAATTCAACACAGGGTAAACGTTTTGGTTACAGACAATAGGTCATGATGCAATTCCCATTAATGTTAAACAAACAATTATGTATTTGGAGTTTTATTGTTATTGGAATGTAAGTTAGGCTAGCCAGTCAAATAGTGTTTGCTTGATATGTCATTTGATTGAAACTTTATATGTCATAATGATAAGTTATTTGCTGCAGACATGGTAATCCATCAAATGGAAGAGCCAATCAGATATGTTCTATTGTAGATAAAGTGGTATTGCTATATCATTAAAGTATTATTGTATAAAACCGTTTCTACAATCATATCACTCCTTACTGTGTAGTAGCTCTGTCAGCTACACAGTAGCAGTATCTAATCAAATAAAAACATTTTAAACACAATATATATCATAATATAATAATGATATATTCTCAAAACTCGTCATCAAGAAGTGATATAGAAAAATATTTTCCTAATGTTAAGTTATTTTATGAAGCAATGCCATTAAACAGTTTCTATTTTGTTTTGCAGTTGAATGTGAAGATTACGTACTGGAAAAGTATGAAAAAAGCGAACTTCCCTGTTCCTCTGACTGTGTTCCACCTTGCGAGTATGTTATGTATTCTTGTTAAAACCAAGTATTGTTTCTTGAAGCTGAAAAAAGATATTTTTGTCCTCCACCGGAAAATGAATTAAGTTAGTTGTTTCCAAATGATATGCGATTACACCTTTTTAATAAAGAAAAAAGGTTAGATAAAAATTGATTTGAAAAAATGAAAAAATGAAAAAATGATTTGAAAAGAGCCGGAATTTGAAATAAAATGCAAAATAATATGTAATAGCTTTGCCTCATTCAGTTGAGCCTTGTCTAGATGAAGGGCGAGTGCGTTACTACTGTACTATCCTTACACCTGGCGTTTGAGATTACAAGATCAGAGTATTTAGTATCAAGTAATTGTTGATGGATTGTCAAGTCAGTAAATATATCTAATGTATATATAATATAGATATCATAATGTATATGTAATTTATCTCAGTGAGACGGAATTTACGTCGGAAGTATCCATGTCCGCGTGGCCATCCAACGAATACCTGGTAAGTGGAACGCGTGTGGGAAGTTTAGTAAGAAAGACAGGAGTAATTGAGGACATATATTGTTGGTTCACATCATAGCTGTCCATGGTTCACCTCATACCTGTCCATGGTTCACCTCATACCTGTCCATGGTTTACCTCATAGCTGTCCATGGTTCACCTCATACCTGTCCATGGTTTACCTCATACCTGTCAATGGTTCACCTCATACCTGTCCATGGTTCACCTCATACCTGTCCATGGTTTACCTCATACCTGTCCATAGTTCACCTCATACCGGTCCCCACTCAAACACCTTTTATATGGGAGAGAAAGTAATGCACATTTAATATCATGAGACATAGTAAACTGAAAAGCTGGTGGAGTTGTCTCCCATAATTTAAATTTGATAAGTTTGTCAACACAAAATTTATGTATGTATGTAATGTAAGGTATGTATGTATATTGATGGTGTATTATGTTTATGTCTGACCACCATGTTGTCTTGGGAGAAGACGTATATAGACTCTAGTCTGCTGTCTAATCCTATTGACTGCTTATGTCAATAAAACATTCTGAAATGAAATACTTGTCCCCACACTATGCACAAGTTATATAATAATGTTATTTTAATATATATGTCCGATGTTTGTAAATATGTCTTTCTTATCGATCACTTGTGTCGTTAACAGGATACTGCAATCAACGATTTTCGAAGTACGTCCACCTCTCTCTTCACGACAATTTCCGCCAATTCAGCTACCGCAGACAAGAGAGCTTTTATGGAGTAAGTTTAAGCGAAGTCTTCATTAAATATTAGTGGCCGATATACACAACATTGTTTCGTTTTCTAATTTCTTTTCTCCGGACACTTACAAAAACTCCGATCAAATAAAATAAAATCGCAATGAATAGAAAAACATCGTTTTAATTGGCGGATATTGAAAGCATTGTATCGACACTGTATACAGCATCTCAAGATTTTATCGTTTTTTTTTTTTCTTATTTTTGCATATTTTTAAAATCAGGTTTCCAATTATCATCCTACCCATAAATAACCAGTAACATGCAGTTTGTGCTGGCAGATTATATTTCATGACCACTACTGATATTCTCAGCCTGTCGGTAATGAATATGGGCCGTAAGGTTATAAATGACCTACTTAGTGTTCTTGTCATTTTATACATATTTCATTTTACTATTAATAACAATTTTGTTTTATCATTGCAGTCAAAACGGAGTTAAAGTAGATGTATATTACAGATATCTTAACTACGAAGTGATTCAGACAGAAGCATCGTATGAGGTACGCTATACATAAAAGGATGTTGTTGTCATCATTTACGGGTTATTGCTATATTGTACAATTTTCCTACTGTCATTGCGGGGTAGATGGATTCAATTTGCACTCGAATATTGCAATTTTGTCGATTTTAAAGGATGCCTGACACGTTTTAATGTCATATTTGCATACACGTGCTTAGAAGTTTCCTTTAACACATGGAACGGTGATTTAATTCGACTAGGTTAGATTTGGAAAGTAGCGTACACATTAAAAAGCGTGATGCGCCTTGATGGTTGACTTAACTCACCCTTACAAGACGATTTGGAAGACTAACATATCCTCCCATAATAAAATGAAAGAAAAATGTACTGTACTTGCTTATATTGAAAATATATGTGATCTTAAGTAATATACTACTTATCATATGGAACATTAATATATATATATATTATCCCTAATATGTTTTACAGGTAGCGAATCTCCTGTCGGACATCGGTGGTCAGCTCGGTCTGTGGATAGGACTCTCCATTGTGTCCTTGTTCGAAATTATAGAGATTATATCAGACCTTGTCGTTATTGGATTTTTACGGTTGTGTGGGAAAAAGAAAACTGAAGTAAAGTCAATTAAGGATGACAAATTAGAAGATGTTTCATGAGTTCTGTGATATGGTGTCATTGAATCGTATCACCATGACACCAGAGAACGTATGGTAACAAGAAACTCCATTAAACACCAAAATAGTGCTAAAACATCACAAATGTACCGAAACGACACGAAGATGAGTGAAGTGTTACAATTTGACTTGAGTTGTAACAAGCCGTTCTTAGTGGGAATAGGTGTCGTGCTAAATTCATGCTTAACCGCCATTTATTTTTTATTCATTACTTGTCGTTTTACAAAATGCTACAGTGTCTCACTTTTGATAAACGGTACTAATGTTATCGGTAGTAAATGAGCTGTAATATGTTTTTGACAAATGATAAATTATTAGTCACATGTCCTAATATGCCACTGGCTAATCAGAACACGTTAAACTAGAAAAAATATCACGACATCATCTCTTGGAACCTGACTTAGAGAATAATATTTTGAATGCTTGTTTCCAAATTAAGTAGTGTATTTGAAACTTGATTGTTATAAACTGGCACATACAAAGTTGATTATCTCACCATCGATAGATAAATGACACAGCTATTTTGTTTTGGAAGATAAAAACATGTTTGAACTGATTTATATTGATTATGGTGCATGTAACAATTTAATGTTAATGTTTTCTAACTTAACGTCATGACATATCTTATTATTCATGCAATCTTGGAACACTCTGGTGATGGTACTAAAAAACGCATAACATTTTCATGCCATCCTTTATATTAGATATACGCAATACAACATTAATGCCTTTAGGTGACATCTAGAAAACACTGATCATGTGCACGTTTCCAAATATATGATACTGAATAATGTTTAGCGGACATGTGCCGTCAATTAAATACCAAGTATTGCTAATAAATGTGATATTTACAATGCATTAACCCAAAGATAAAAGCCGATGTATGTTTTCTTTATCTACAACATGAGTTTGCAGACAAAGGTAGAGAAAATTTAGGTAATTCATAATTCATAATTTGAATTCTGATTTTGAGCAAATTCATTTGTCCTGATCAAAGAGAAACACGATCGAAATTAAATATTTTTCACATTTTGATAAACAGTGACATATGATTAAGAATTGTTAATTATGGTTTTTCTTTCAATGTTTAGAGGAGTAAAACAATCTCAATAATTTATATATGGGACTTTACGTTTTACAGCTGGATTAAAACCATTGCAAATACGATTATTTTGTTTTGAGTTATTCCCCTTACCTTGCAAACATTTAGTTGTCAACATCTGAAGTATAGCCAGTTTTGTCATTATAATATTTTTCTCGTTTTAGAAAATTTGACTGTAAAGATCTGATGAACAAATGGAATTAAGCAACAGCTAAACCATATAAAAGTTACTTATTTCAATAATAAATACACACATCAGACAGATAGTAATAAAGGTATATATGCTATATTACGTTCTACTATAAGAGCGTACTTCTTTCTATAATAAAAACACACATCAGACAGACAGTAATAAAGGTATATTTGATATATAGCATTCTGCAACAAATAGTGAAGGCTATTTTATTAAATTATTGCAATACGATTCAGTCATATTTAAATGGCGGTCAGCAAAGATAAATTGTCCTTAAGAGTGACTAAAAGTTGAAATCCAACAATATCTGTAATGAATAAGACACATTAAAAGACAGTTAGAGAAAGAGCAATTATTTTAAGCTCGGATCGCTGGCAAAATTTCTTAATTCATTTTCTTTTTCAATAATACGAAATGCTATTGTAGTTATGATGAACATTGATAATAGTTTAATATCATTAAGGCATTGTGGACATCAGACAAAATCCAGACAAAATATGTGGACAAAAACTAAATATACTTGATATATATACGATTAAATGCTACTTGTACAGTCTAATGTCATTAAGAGGACACTGCTTAGTATACTTATAAATGTGATATTAAATTGCGTTTAATATTTGATTGTTAAAGGGACAAATACTAATGTGACTAACTCCCTGAAAACATGTAATGATTGTAGCACAACTTTGATACAAGTTACTAGTTCATCTATTTAATATGAGTTATTTCCCCTGTATTATAAACATCACAAATTGCTCTATATTTGATTATGAACATGGATTGCTTACTTCCCACGGGAAAATGCAACCATGTCCAAATTCCAGAAATCTTATCATTATAATTCATGGAATGTTATTTATACCTGTACTATGTATTTGTTTCTGCCTCTGACTGTGTAAAGATTCTACTTCCATTTAAGAAATTAAGAGGCAGAAACAAATACATAGTACAGGTATCTCAACATTCCCTGATATAGATAAAGAATTCTTGTGTACCACCACATCTAGTTTAGGCATTTCTTCGATCAATTATTAATTTCATTAGTCGCTTCTTAGGTTTCAAAGTTTAAAGCCTTACCCTCACCGATGAATCTTGGACAGACAAACCAGCTGTATAGTTGTGTTTAATTCATTACTGTGCTCTGTTTATGCAATTCTAAATTCAAAATATAAACAAAAGATTGATTTAGACAGAGGCGGCTTAAAATGTACGAGGAGAAAAAGACCATGTTTTGCGGAAGAGTAAATATCTGCTTAATCGCCTTGTAAATCTTTGTCTACCCAAGTTGGAAATGCCACATTTATAAATAAGAATGGGCACAGTTACAAGCTTTTCTGCCAATACACTCATGGAAATTACAAGAGTTTGTTACTCAATCGACCTAGTTAAACGACCCAATTTTGTAAAAAAAAAAAAAAAAATGTCACGAAACCGGTAGAGAAATGACCTATGATATTTTGTTAGCACGGCGCTAATTGGCCCAATTTTTGAAAACTCTGCTTTGATTGGCACATTAAATTCATAACAACAATTACAGCTATAGGTTAACCGTTTAGATTTTCCAGCCAACTATATTTAGCAACTTCATATTCTGTTTACAATAAAACTTTTTTATGCAAGCAATGCTTGTTCACCTAGTATATCTGTATACTAGATATTAAGATACATTTGCCCGATAATTAAAAAAACATCGCTTTCATATATCTCCAAAGTATCATCAGTTACATGCGTGAATTCTGAACCCTGCTTTTATTTAAATGAATTAAAACTTGATATCCAGGATACGGCAAACCTCGTGGCCTAAACGTTCACCAGCAGTGTCTACCACTGCTATCTCTATGATTGTAAGTTAGCTGATAACGATCTTATATACACATTCCCAATTCTCTTCTCGGTCTTGGATGCAACATTATCAGATTTAAGTAACATCAAATTAATGAAAAGTGAAAAAACACCAACATTTCAATAAAATGATCCTAAAACAAGTCGATATAGTAAGGGGATAATAGGAACAAAAGAATGTTTGCATGGAGGTTTCTTTACAAAGAAAGAAATGAATCAGTTCAGGACTTCCGGAAGTGTAAGCGTTTTTTGCTTCATCGACGACATCCGAATGAATGAATTAATTAATTCAAGTAACTTATATCGATATTTGTGTGCCTGAAACTAGCTTTCCATTAAATTGTTGATAAAGTTTGTGTCGTTTATCAATTAATTAACAAGAGAGATAAAATACATGAATTGATTACGTCATGCATACTAACGTTTGAAAATGAAGTGCCATTAATCTTTAATTCATATATGAAGCCGAAGACCGATTTCAAATCTTATTCAATCCCCATCTTTATAAACATATCCAGTTATATTTATTTTTCTAGTTCATGATACATAATAATTATTGGATTTAAACTGTGTTACCTACCAATTAAAGTGTGAATACAAAAATGATGTAACACTTACAGCAGAATTTGTTTAAAATATTTTCATGTTTAGATTAAAATCTTCCCATCTGAAAGAATCGATATTTATAAAAAGAGAATATTTCCATGTTGACTTTGATACGTTAATGGAACTGATGTTATAGTGTTTTTAGGTTTAAGTAGTGTAAATTTGATAATGGCTTTTTATGGCAAATCAGTACAGCGAGAATAAACTTGTTGAAGGCTACCAAATGAGGTTGGCATCTGAGCCAGTGATCAGTCAATCGCAGTCCAATGATTTTATGTTTAATGTACAGTTGACTGGTTCTGTGTTCATTTTGAACAAAGGATCACCTGCCTTACTACACACCTAACACGTTGACACCCCACACATCACAAAATGTTAAACGTTAATGCTTGAGCAAACATTCTTTACAAACATTTGTCCTTGCATATACAACCTGTTTGCTATTATTCTGCTATGTGGTCGTATACGAATAAAAGGTTTGAAGTTACTTCCAACAAATTATCTTTCCAAAACATGCCCTGCATTCATTAAAATTGTGATAAAATTTCCATTAGTTCACGACTGATAAATACACATGTAACTCAAATGCATCATGCATCTGATAAATATCTATACTTGTCAGATTTTCCGAAACTAGATTTCAACAATTGTGTCGCGTACAACTGATATGTAACTGTCAAATGCCAATGTTCATGATGAAAAGGTCAGATCAGCGTATGGTACATAGTATTTGTGTTACTGTCCCACGATTGAATGTCGCAAAAACCTTTACCACAGTCAATGACGTAAGTGTTTACAAATGCCGAATATAGCTGGATGACCTCAATACCCTTTACAAACCACGTGATTTCCAAAGTTAAACACACGTTAAGTATATTACCTGTGAATTTGTGGATCACTAGCAGGTGTAAGGCCTGTTACTATCATCCTGATTTAGTGTTATTTCGACTAACACATACAATGACAATATTAGTGAAAGGTCGATTGAGGATTTTATTTCAAATGTTTTTTATTTTATTGTGTCTGGTGATATCGGGATATGAAAGCAGACATACCGACCGAGGAAGGGATATACAAGACGAGACAAAAAATGGATTTCGTAATTTACAACCACGAGGTGTCGATGATGTATCTAAAACCAAACCAGGTGTAAGAAGATGTCTTGGGAAAGGTTAGTGTAATATGTAGGTAAGCTCCAGGTAAAACAAAGCGACTATCACGTCTCCATACTGGAGA